CTCTCTCTCTCTCTATCTGTCTTTCGTATTATATAGTGGTAAAGTAATATATATATATATATATATATATATATATATATATATATATATATTCTAATTATAAATATCTATGGTTCTCCTTGGATACCCATGCTAGATATGGGGGTCTTTTTTCTTTGAGAAATTAAAGAGGTTAGGAGAAATAGGTTAAGAAGAAGATTTTGGGTTTTTTTGAGAAAGGGTTGTGAAGAGGTTAGGTGAAATGGGTAAAGAGCGGGAGGGTCACATTTTTGGGTTTTCTTGAGCAATGGGTGTTGAAGAATCTTTACTTTAATTGTATTTTCAAAGAAATTGTTTGATTGCAAAGTTTGGGTTCACTTAGCTGCTATTATCCGCTAGGAATGGGTATAATAGGTAGGCTGCCCTGTTATGTTTTTTTTTCCTTAATATGTATGTTGTACTCAAAATTTTTGCTGATTTTTTCTCCTCATTGCTTGTTTTTTATTGTAGTTGGTCAACTAGTTATTCACTCCCCTCCCTCTAGAGCACTCTGCGATGACTAGAAGGCTTCCTGCTACAATTTGTAAATGCGTAATCTACAGGTATGCTATGCCATTGTTTGGCCATTTCTTTTCGAGAGCATGAGATACAGGAGATCAGGTTCAAACAATCTATATCAGAAAGTAATAATCTGTAATTTCAATTCTTGATCTTTCCTAATCCTTTGTGAGAGAAACAAGGCAACTAGTTGAGCTTTCCCAAACCATGTTTGATATGTTTTCTCTTATGTATTGGACCAAATTAATGTGTGCTTTAGGTTGAATTTTGACAGATTCATGTTTACTCTTTTTCTTTTTAATATGGTAGGGTCCTTGGATTTTTATTATGATGGGTTATAAATAAATAGGGAACATGCATACAAATATTTGGAAATCAAAAGGATTTATATACAATATTGCCGATATATGGTCAACATAGGCATCTTTCCTTCGTTATGTTTATGGTTGGACCTATTTGGGTTCCTAAGCTTATTTAATTTTTGCTGCCCAGCCCCACTTGGGAAAGAAAAGAAGAGGGGGGGGGAAGGCGGGGGGGGAAGGCGGGGGGGGGGGAGGGGGGGGGTTGGTGGTGGGGTGGAGAGAGAGAGAGACATGAACAGCAAATTAAATATGTGATCTATACCCTCCATTTTGTTAGACTAACTGTGGATGTCCTATGAGATTGAAATTCATTCTTTTTACAATTATTATCATCTCAACAATAAAAAATACAATGTACAGTTAAAAACTGATAGATTTAATCTCTACGTTCGTAAAATTCCATGTTCAACCAAGCATTGTTGTAGAAATTTCAAGACAGGTTGCGAAACACAGTATTTGTCTTTACCATGTATCCAAATTTCCTGCATCCAAATCTCATTAAGTAGAAATTCCGGCTTTCATTTCCAGCTTCTAGTTGCCAAACGCTCTATTAATATTATAACTTAGGTTTTAGGCAGAATAAGTTAATGCGATGGCTATTGGCTTTTAACAGTGTTGTTATTTTTATACTAAAACTGATAGATTTAATCTCTAGGTTCGCAAAATTCCATGTTAAACCAAACATTGTTGTAGAATTTCCAGACAGGTTGCCAAACACAGTATTTATCTTTACCAAAAATTTATTTTTCTGGTGACAAAAATGGATTTTTTGGTGTTTAGAATAGTTTTTGGATCCTCAATTCATCAAAAGATGGAATTTGGAGTTGTGAGTGTATTCTTGAGAGGTTCAACCACGATTGGTACCAAAACTGGACCCGTTTAAAATTGTGGTGATTTATCTTGGATTATAAAATCACTTACTCTTATTTAAGGTCAAGGTTTATTTTTGTCTGAGGCAAGCATTTGTAAGAGTTGCAAGTATGCCAAACTGTACCCCCATATCATATAAGTAGACTACTAATGCTTCCCAAATGTGGCTTAAGTCATCCCCACTACCATCAATTAGAGCGAATTATGTCCGGTGGGGATGTGACCATCATCCACTTCCTTAATTCAATTGGTACGTGCCATATTGCGCTTGAGACGCAATGATGTAGCATTGGGATTGCCACCCCCTCATCACCTAGAGCGAATCATGTCCAAGAAGGTGGCGAGCCTTCATTCACTGCAGTGCTTGGGCCATATCACGTCGGGTATGTGATGCCACAATGTCAAGTCATCCCCATCACAATCTCTTAGAGCAAGTTTGCTCTGAACACCGTGCTTGGTTGTTGTAATTTTATTCTTTTAATTTATTTTTCTGCAAATCCTTCAATACTTTCTTAGAGCATTGAAGCATTTGTAAGCATCTTGTGGTGGCGTAATTGAAGTCCAAGTGACCCATGGGTTTTTCATTATGGGTGGAATGATGTTGTTTCTAAAGCTATTGCCTTCATAAACATACTTCATAATCAATCTATTTTCAAGACATAGTTTATATCAACTTCGATGAAGGTTAGCAAAACATTTGTCTTTTTTGGATATAAATAAAAAGGTACACAAATCTTAGCTTAATTTGATCTTTCATTAAATTAAAAAGAGAAATTGTACGTTGTGGTGTTCATTTTCCATTTGTTTTTGGGTAGGTCAGCATTGAATTCCGACCTTGGATGTTGGCTTTCAGTTGACATTCTTTAACAATCAAGTCAATGTAGTAGATGTTGAACAAGGACATAGATTGTGTGCTTATGCCTTTTGTATGATGGCCAACCTCAAATAAAACAGCAGGGAATAACCAAGCCAGCTTCTGTGCGAGTGGGAGGGAGAACCCAGTTTAATCCCATCAAATAGTTCCATGGCTTCGAGCTTCTTCCTCCTCTTGATGCTCTTGGTTGTGGCCCCTCTTGCGTTACTTCTGTTCCTACGACTCATTGCACGACCTCGCCTCACTAAGGTCCCTATAAAGGGACGGCATGTGCTCATTAGTGGTGGGTCAAGTGGCATCGGGCTAGCCATGGCAGAGCTGGCAGCAATGGAGGGTGCCAGCTGTGTCTCCATCTTGGCCCGTGACCCCCGCAAATTGGAGGATGCCAAATGCCAAATCCAACTCTCCACAGGTCTACCTGATGATCGTGTACGCGTGCTCATTGCTGATGTGCGCGATTTCGAGGGGGTGAAGCGAGTGGTTGAGGAGGCTTCAGCTGGTGGTCCACCTGTGGATGTGTTGGTGTGCAATCAGGGGGTATTTGTACCACAGGAACTGGAGTCTCAGGAGATGGATACGGCCAAATACATGGTTGACATCAACCTCATTGGCACCCTCCACTTGATCAAAGCTGTCCTCCCCCAAATGAAGCACAGAGATGACCCCTCCACCCCTGCCTCCATCGCCCTCATGTCTTCTCAAGCCGGACAGGTAGTACCTCTCTCCCTCTCTCTCTCTCTCTCTCTCTCTCTCTTCTTCTTTCTTCTTTCTTTCTTTACTTACTTTACGTTCTTACGTTTCTTAC